TCATAATTTGATGCAAACCATAATCACTCATAATTTGAATACAATATTGAGGGGATTGTTCTATATTAACCAGTATTATGCCATATGTTTTCCTGTCAAAATTTTGGTTCCACATTTTTTTATATTCTCATTTATTTTTCTTCAGTTTTTTTCTTAATTTTGGACTAAATAAAGATAATTTTTTATTGGCAGCTAGTTTTGATCAAAATTGTTAATAATATTAATATTTAATTGAACTATATCCTTGGATCATGATAAGTTGTACTATAAAGGAATCACGGGGGGGAAATGAGAAAAAAAAATTACAATAAAACATTAGCAAAATATACGTGTTTTTTTTCCACTTTGTGAAAATTTTATATTCAAGCTGTTGATATTATTTGAAAAACGCCCAAAAAACATCTGTTTGTGTCTTGTTTTCATTTCATTCAAACATAGTGCATAAGAATGGACATTGGGGCTTTGTTACATATACCCGGTAATTTTGTTTTACATATCAAAATCAAAATGGCTCTCTGGTGACCATTTGTTTTAACGAATGCTGTTAAATGCCTTTTCTCATGTCATACATATGCACATGATCCAAATGAAGATGGCCAAATGGCATCCATCTTAAAACTAAAAATGCTTTAAAATCATGTTTTCTTACGGCTTACTGCTTACTATTGTGCGAGAGGGATGTTCACAGCTCTCATTCACTGCTGTATTTTTTAGGTAAACTATTGAAGTATATTGATGGCAAATGGCAAGAAGTACCAATGAGTGAAAGACTAAAATTAACTAAGTTAGAGGGTCAAATATGGATTGCAATGTTTAACCTACTTATGGGGCCCGAGTGCCAGAGGAAATATGAATTCAATTCTCATAATAAGAACCAGATACTCAAGGTCAGTGTTACAATTATTTCCATTACCAGACTAAATATATATTATGTAAATATAATTTTTTGACTACATTGCAGTTTACCTGAGTCTGTACTGATATTTAACCGATCACTTTGGTGCTAAGAAGTATGTCAGTTGAGTAAGAGTTTTCCCACATTACTTGTATGAGAACTGAAACATATTTTAGCGTAGCAGTGGGTATTTTTTAGCAGTGTTATAGAGTAGGGGACCCCCCCCCCCCCCTCCAACTCTGTAATTGTTGATAAACAATAAAGGTAATTTTATTTAAATTAGTCACATCATCTAGACTTTTTCTGAGAGCACTTTCTAATTAATTTTCACATCATGTTTGTTTTTTTAACAGCTGCGAGCCCACATGACAGAGGTCTTATTAGATCAGATACCAATGCTAGTAGACTTACAGAGGTACTTAGAACACTTATCAATGATGGAGCCACCAGCAGCCAGGCAAGGATTAGTATTAGAACAGGTACAGTGTATAATATGCATTGAATTGTGAATGCAGGAAAGGGGTGCAATTAACGAGTCATTGGTGCAAAGAAATTACTAGATAATCCACTTTCAATCATTAAATAGAATTACCCTAATATTATTCCCTTGAGCGCCATATTTTTAGTTCCCGTTTGGATGCAGTGCGTGCGTCCAGACCTGTATCTTAGAAATGCCTGGACCAATCACAATCAAACTTTACACATACATCATACATTACATTATACATATGCACATGAATTTGTTTCACGATCTGATTCAAGATGGCCAAATGGCAGCCATTTTTGCACTGAAAATCATCAAAATTAAGCAATTCTCGGCTGTTTACAGGTGGACTTGGTATATACATTGGACATTATAGGACCTTGATGCACATCATTTTGTTTTTCAGATTGGATTCAAAATGGCTGACTGGCTGCCATTTTGTTTTAATGAAAGGGCTTATAGAGCCATATCTCTGACATGCTTTGACTGATTATGTTTAAATTTTTAATATTCATCCTACATCATGTCGTAGATATACAGATTTATTGGTTTGACGATCCTATTCAAAGTGGCGAAATAGTAGCCATATTTGTGCTAAAAAAATCATCAAATATCAAGCATTTCTAGCATTTATGAATGGATTTTATTCAAACTTATAACATACATTCAGACATTACGAGTTCCTGATATAGATTTATTGGTTAGACGATCCTATTCAAAGTGTCCGAATGGTGGCTACTTTTGTGCTAAAAAAATCATCAAATATCAAGCATTTCTGGATGGATTTCGTTCAAACTTATAACATACATTAGACATTACAAGTTTCTGATGCACGTCATTTTATTTTTCAGATCGAATTCAAAATGGCTGACTGGCGGCCATTTTGTTTTAATGAATGGGTTTCTAGAGCCATCTCTGACATGCTTTGACTAATTATGTTCAATTATGTTTATATATTTTATATATTCATTATACACCTTATGTCATAAATATATACATGTATACAAAATGGCTGATTTTGTTTTAATTAATGCTATTCTTGAGCAATATCTCTCAATGTGGACAAGTACTCGTTTGACGATCAGATACAGATGTCAATCATTTTAATGTTAAACAATCATCATAATCATATTCTTGACATGGTTATAATCCAGCTATATTACTATCAACAAAACTATACATCTTAAATTCGATAACTAACTGGGACTGTGCCATGCATGGCTTGTTTATTTTAATTTTCTTTGATCCAAGTTGGTTAATAGGCCTTTTTGAGTATAGCACCACATTCAGTCAAACTGTTCTATTGTAAAGAATTGTGGGTATTGTTTAGGGCAAAATCAATTGTTTTTGCTATTACTCATGTGACTTTGCCTCAAACAATACTGATAACTCTTCATATGATGGAATAGTTTGGGCTGAATGTGTCACTATTCTCAAAATTACAATATACATGTATATATGTTCACATGCGCTTTCTTAAATGTCTTGTAAAACAGATGACTGGCAACAGATGTACTTCTAATTTGGCCATAGCAAACATTATGGACTTGAATTTATGTATTGACAATGTACTTGCCATAAGATAAGAAGTTTGAGCTATCTTGAATTTCTACTAATTTATTTGTGGCATGGCATGGTATGTGTGATTTTGATTTGTTCATTTTTTACAGGTACCCAGATCTATGATAGTATGGTACGTGAGAATGATGGGAAATGGTCAGCCATAGCCAAACATCAAGTCAAGAAATACTTTAATCCACCAAAAGCAAATTTGAGAGAACAGGCAAGAAGGTTGGTACTGACAAATCATACGAAGCATTGTGTTTTTGAAATGATCAGACGTGCAGTATACAGTAACGCACAGAACTGTGATTAATTTGAAATATTTGCTTGATGTGTTATCTTGTAAATAAAATGCACACAGTTAAAATGCTTATCTCTATGGCAGCACAATGCCATTGAATCTGTGTAAAATACAGTAAATCCTGAGACTGTGTGTTCAAATGCTGGACAGAGGTAGTCATCATTTATTTGAAAAAAAAAATGAACTAGAAACTTTGAATATGATAAACAGTCTT